AATCTTTTGATGGCCCGTACAATAGCCTTTTAGTCGTTCCCGCGACTTTCCCGAACTTTTTCAAAATCCCGCAGCCGTAGCAGCAGCAGCCGCTGCAGCTGCCACCGCCTCTGCCGCTTCAGCCAATGCTGCGGCAGCTGCTGCTTCCAGTAGCAACTACATGTTACCTTGTCCTCTTTGCGAAACTCCCCTAGAGCAGCGTGTCTTTCGCCAACATCTCGATCGTCATTATCCGCGTGATAGTCCTGTCTGTCCGGTCATCGAATGTGGTCGTCGTTTTGCCCATCCCAATTCGGTGCGTAATCATATGCGCATTAAGCATACACTCCAATGGGCGAAAATGAAAGCAATGCGTTCTTCGGGTGGACCATTTGCGGGTGGGCCGGATTTTAAATGAAACTGTGAGGGTGATTAGTTTGAAATCGTGTAACGTAAAAAAATAACATTCCAAGATAAAAGTGAAACCAAAGAACGTATACGTTTAACGTTTAGTTTTATATTGTAGACCAAAAAAAAGGCTTAATTAAAAACAAAAGAATTCAGTTTGATAAACAAATAATCAAAATGCTTCCTTAAGGTAAAATTTAAGAAAAATAAGATATTTACAAAGATATAACAACACCGTAAATAAGTGTAAAGCAAAAAAGATATGTAGAAATATCGCCAATATGGTGATTATATAGACGAAAGTTTAGGGTAATTTAATAAAAAATTTAAACATATTTTAAAAGAGTTTCAAAATTGTATTTCAAAACATCTCTGGCTAGCGTGTGATAACTTTAAGAACTCTTCAGCATATGGTGTTCTATAAAGCTCTTTCCCTCTTAAGCGTTCTTTTCCAAAACTTCTAGTGTTCTCTTTCGCTATTAAAAGTTTTATAAACTCTGTCTCGATTCTATTCGAGTGTTAAAAGAATTTGGTCTTTTTTTAAGAGCTCTTTAGTAACTCTATCCATAGTTCTAGTGTTCTCTTTTCCAAGGTTTATATCTCTCTCTCTCTGGCTGGTTTAAGTGTTCGAAATAACACGATGCTATTCGAGAAAGTTAAATGAATGTTCTCTTCGATAGAAATCTTTATAAAATCTTGTTTAATAACTCTCTTGCCGGCTTAATGCTTCAGTGTTCTAATTCTCCCATTACATATTGAAAATTCTATATGAGAAAGTTTAAAAATAATGTGTAGAGAATTTGTATGTAGATTAGGGTACAAGCTTAAAAGCTAGTGTCCTTTTCAACAACACTCTCTTATGCTTAGTTGTCTCTGAAAGAACACTTTCGTTAGTTAATCGATTCTAATGTCTATATGCTTTATAATTTGTGAATTATATCTCTCACAAACTCTCTCTCTTCTGTATAGATTTATGTTCTCTCTGCTTAACAGAGCAAGATTTCTTGTTGTTAAGTAGATTTTTTAACTTCTGCTTTATAATTTTTAATTATTTCTCTCACAAACTTTCTCTCTCTCTCTTTTCTGTACAGATTTATGTTCTCTCTTGCTTAACAGAGAGCTTTTATCTTATGCTTAGTTGTCTTTGAAGGAACTTTTGATATATTTTAAGTTATTTAGTAGATTGCATAACTTCTGCTAACTAGAGTGCTATTTAAGATTACGGTCTTATGCTTAGTAGTCTCTAAAGGAACTCTTTCGTTAATTGAAGGCTTTTTTGCTGTTAGGCATATTTGAACGAGATGTTTAGGTGATTTATAACTTCATAAAAATATATCCAGCTTAAGACGCGACCAGTGAATAATTCTCTCACTAGCTTAAAGGTTTTTAAATAATTTTCTATCCTTTTTAAAGGGTTTCCAAAGAACTTATGCGTTAGATTTAAATAATTTAAAACAAACTTTGACACTCTAAAGATTTCTAAGGAAATCTCTTTTAAAATTTCAACATTTTAAAGAATTCTTCATAATGATAATGAAAAGAAACCATTTCCAAAACAAGTTTTTAAAAAACTTTCCTAAAAATGAAAAAAAGCGTTAGAAAACTAAACTAAATAAATTTTGTAATTTATTCCTAAAAAAAAAACAATAATAAAAATAACAATTAATTAATTAACTGTCTATTAAATAGACAAAAACTTTTGAAATCTATACATAACTAATATTTATATATATTAACAAAAAAAAATGAAATGAAATATATACACAAAATTATACGTTCCTATACAATAATGTATTATGCAAATATATATAAAAAAATTAAATAACATAAAAAAATTTGTAATTTAGTAAAGTAAAGAAAATAATTATAAAAATGAAAGAAGAAAAAAAAACTATTTAAAACAAATCCTATAGTTAGTAAGTTAAATAAAGAAATTAAATAAAACGCATATAAATAGTAAATTAAAACAAATATAAACAGTATTATAATAAAAAGAAAAAAACTGTAGATAAAATCAACTAAAAAAAAGAAAATTTCATTAAAAAATAAAAATAATTTACAAGAAAAAAGATATTTAAAAAAAAATTCTATAACAATTTTTCATGATCGTGTTAAACTTAAATTTTTTTTGGGAAAAATTTTAAATTTCTTTTTTCCTGTAAATTATTTTTTTATTTCAAATGTAAACTTTTATATACTAAACTCTAAAAATTAAAAGAAAAAGTATTATAAATTATACTGAAACAAAATAGAATGTGCCTGCGTAAATATATTTTTAGCCAAAAAAAAAAATTAAAAAAATACAAAAAAAAATTGATAAATAATCTTTAAAATATTAAGTAAAAATATAAATAATATAAAAAAATAACTAAATAATTAAAAAAAAGATAACAAATGTATAGTTTAGTAAATAAACTTAGTAAATAATTAAAAAAAAATAATATTGCTACTATTCATAAAAGAAAAACAGAATAAAAACTATAATAAAACAGAGCTCAAATTTCCATAAAACTATAATTTTACAAAAAAAATTAGTTTTTAATTAAAAACTTTTAAGTTAAATTACATTGAAAAGTAAAAAAATGTTTTTAAAAATTTTACAAAAATTATAACAATTTCGAATATTTAAAAAAAAAAATCGGGTAAAAAACTGCTTTCTTTGTACTCAAAGCGAAACTTTCCCGATCGACCAGGTCCATGTGATAATCCTGTCAAATGTGGTCGCCATTTTGTTTATGCCAATTCAAATGTCTATAATCTTTAATGGATGATAATTAAAGAAAGAACAATATTCTCTCTAACTTAAGTGTTATTTAAGAAACTTTCACTCAAAAGCTCGTTTGCTTAACAAGTGTTATTGAAAAGTCTTTTAGCAGCAAAGAAATCTCTATTAAATTGCTCTCTGCTTCTATTAATTGAAGTTTTTTTTAAAAAACTTTGACTTAAATCTCCTTTCTCTTTTGCTCAAGTGCTATTTAAAAGTTAATCGCTTGAGAAGAAAGCTCAATCTTTCGGTTTATTAAGTTACAATGAGAGTTATATGAGTTATATTATACATATAAACCTTCATGACAAAGTTTTCCCCACTTCAAGAATTATTTAAAACCTTTAACTGTTATTTAAAAGTTTATCGATTGAGAAAAGCCTTAATCTTTCGGTTTATTAAGTTACAATGAAAGTTATGAGATATATTATACATATAAAACTTCATGACAAAGCTTTCTCCACTTCAAATTTTATTTAAAACCTTTAACTCAAAATTTCTTTCTCTCTCTCTTGCTTAAGTGTTATTTAAAAGTTTGCCATGTGAGAAAAAGCTCAATCTTACGGTTTATTAAGTAAAATGAGAGTTATGAGATATATTATACATATAAAACTTCATAAGAAAGCTTGCATTACTTCAAAAACCTTTATCTCAAAATTTCTTTCTCTTGCTTAAGTGTTATTCAAAAGTTTATTGGTTGAGAAGAAAGCTCTATAATTCTTTTTATTAACTTATGATGAGTGTTATGAGATATTTTATAAATAAAGGCTCACGAGAAAGCTTTTTGCCGATTGTATTAAACTCATAAAGAGCACTCTGGTTTTCTAAAGATGAAGATAGTAATCTTGTAGTAATTAAATAAAGCTCTCATTAAAGAAAATTTTGTTTAAGAAGTTTCACTTAAAATCCCCAGAGTTTGCTTAATAGTTGTTCACAAATTCATAAGTTCTTAAAATTATCTCTCTCCAGAGAGCAACAATGCAGCTCTCTATCAATTTTGTCTGCTTTTTATACATGTATAAGCACAAGAAAGAGCTTTTAGCGTTTAACTGTTATAAAACCACTAGTACTGTTATAATCATGTAAAAGCTTTCTTTGGCGGCTGCTGAAGTGCTATTTAACTATTTAAAAAGATCTTGAAATATTTCTTTTAAATTCTCTAAAGAAAAATTTTAAAATTTTCAAACTACTTTTCTGTGCAATGGAAATTTTTTTTTTTATAATTTAAACTTATTAATATTAAACCTTTAGTCCCAAATTAAAAACAACCAAATGCATAAAAATACAACAATGTTTAATACGTAAAAAAACAGGTTCCTATTAAATTAATCAAAAAAAAAACATTTAAAAAAAAATTAAGTAAAATAATTAACAATTTTTGAAAGAATTTTTTTACAAAAAGAAGAAAATGTTTAAAATTCCTAAAAATATATATTATTTAAACAATTTTAGGAAGTACCTACAAAAACAACAGCAACAAGAAAAAGAGAAAAATTCCTTTAAAAAACACATAAAAAATTCCTATTTAGTTAAAAGTTATATAAGTTATTAATTTAGTTGATTTAAAAACCCCAAAAGAAAACCTTAAGTATTATTAACTGAAAAAAGGAAAACTATATAGTAAATATTAAAAAAAGAAAACAACAACTAAGACAAAGAAAAGGCAAATATATACAATATATTTTCAAATAAAAATTAAAAAAAAAATGAAGAGAAAAATAAAAAATTAAAAAAAAAAAATAATAAAAAAAAAACAAAAATGAATTTTTATTAAAGAAAACAAAAAAATTATTAATTAACAATATAAAATAAAAAATTAATAATATTTTTACTTTTTTCTCTACTCTAGTTACACGTCGCTCTTTGGAAATGCGTGTACGTGCCACCGATCCCCGTCCTTGCCCTAAATGTGGCAAAATCTATCGTTCAGCCCATACTTTGCGTACTCATTTGGAAGATAAACATACTGTCTGTCCCGGTTATCGTTGCGTTTTGTGCGGTACTGTAGCCAAATCCCGCAATTCCTTACACTCTCATATGTCTCGTCAACATCGTGGTATTTCCACCAAAGATTTACCCGTTTTACCCATGCCCAGCGCTTTTGATCCCGAATTAGCTTCACGTCTTTTGGCCAAGGCTGGTGTTAAAATTTCAGCTGCTGAATTGAGAGCTCGGGCCTCTCCCACCAATAGTACGGGTGCTAATGGTCAGAAACTTGATATTAATATGGGTGTAGGCATGAAAGATGAAATGGATGATTCCGATGATGATCCCGAAGATTTGACTACTGGTGCTGGTTTTGGTGGCAGTACGAACAGTAATGATTTGAGCCGTTATCATGAGAGTTTGTTGAGTAATTTTGGTCATGCTAATACAACCATATCGCGTATACGTAATGAGGCTGCAGCGGCTGCAGCAGCAGCTGCTTTGGGCCAACAGAAGGATTTGGCTGGAGGACAAATACCCACTAGTAATGCTGCTGGTCAATCGCTATTGGATACATATTTGCAGTTTATAACAGAGAATACATTTGGTAAGTAGAGTTTAGGTTTAAAATCAAAATTGCAATGAGCAATAGACTAGTATATGCCCTTCTCCATAGACTTATTAATTGATCAGTCTATATACTAGTCAATAGGCTAGTCAATAGCCTAGTCAATAGACTAGTCAATCCATTGGCTAGTCAATTGACTAGTATATATGCTAATTTATATGCTAGTCGATAGACTAGTTAATAGACTTCTCATGGATCAGACTATATACTAGACTAGTCCATATACTAGTCAATAGACTAATCTATATACTAATCAATAGACTAGTCTATATACTAGTCAATAGACTAGTCTATATACTAGTCAATAGACTAGTCTATGTACTAGTCAATAGACTAGTCTATATACCAGTCAATAGACTAGTCTATATACTAGTCAATAGACTAGTCTATATACTAGTCAATAGACTAGTCTATAGACTAGTCAATAGACTGCTTTATTTACTAGTCAATAGACTAGTCTATAGGCTAGCCTAGTCCATAAGCTAAGCCGTATATTAGACCATAGGCTAGTCAATAGCCCAGGGATAGTCAAATATTAGTCGATTGACTAGCCCTTAGAAAAGTCAATAGACTGTTCTATAGACTAATCCATAAACTAATCAATAGGCTAGTCAATATACTAATCCATTCGCTAGTCAATGGGCTAGTCTATATGCTAGTCAAAAGACTAGTTAATAGACTTCTCACGTATCAGTCCATTGACTAGTCAATGAAACAGACTGTATACTAGACAATAGACTAGTCTATATGCTAATCAGTAGACTAGTCCATATCCTAGCCTATAACCTAGGCCATGTATTAGTCCATAGGCTAGTCAATAGCCCTAGTCCATGGGCTAGTCAAAGATTAGTCTATTGACTAGTCCATAGAAAAGTCAATAGACTGTTCTATAGACTAGTCCGTAGACTAGTTAGTACACTGGATCGTAGACTAGTCCAGACTTAAGTCAATTAACTAGTTTAGAGGCTAGTTTATAAACTAGACAGGTCCATATACTAGTTGGTAAACTTGATTATAGACTAAAATATAGAACTAGTCCATCGGCTTCTTAATACGCCAGTACATAGACTAGTTCAGACATTGGCCTCTGGCCTGACCTCTTTCAAAAACCATTTCTTAAAATCAAACTTTTTACTCTTCTAAAGTTGATTTACCTACGAATTTACTAATTACCCCTTTTCCTCTTTTTAGGCATGGGTATGTCGCAAGAACATGCTGCCGCCGCTGCTTTACATGCCGCCAAAATGGCCCAACTAAATGCCATGGGTCATAGTTTAGATAAAATACCACCCGGTCTAATACCACCCCAATTCGATTTGAGTAAATTGGCAGGCACTGCCGCTGGTACAGCGTTTTCAACAGCAGCAGCTAATAATTCAGGACTTACTATTGAACCCATTATGAGACGTGAACAGGCTAGTACACCCAATAATGAGAATACTACCTCAACCAATAATAATACACCTGCCACACATAATAATGACTTAAGAAGAGATCCCTCAGAACCTATGGATTTGGGTTTAGATGGTAATAATCAATCGGGTTCACATCATGAACAACAGGGTTCGGATAATGAGGATAATTATTCCGAAGATGAAGGAGTGCATAATACATAAATTTTTTTTGGTGGAAAAAATTTTAATAAAAATTAAATTTTTTTAGTTAAAAACATATATTTATATGGAGATATATATACATATATATAATAATTAGTTTAATATATGGTAGAGTTAAAAAAAGAAATTAGTAATGCAATCAATATAATGCAAAGAATGGGTATTGAATTGTTTATTTTAAAAGTTAGTTTAAAAAAAATTATTTCAAAAAAATTAAGAAATTTGAATTCAAAATTGAAACTAAAGAAGCCTTAAAAATGTATACCAGTTTATTGAAAAAAGAATTTTATTAAGGAAAATTTATAACAGGGAAATCGCTAATGTATACGATTTACCTTGAAATTAAAAAAAAAAAATCTTGAAAAAATTAATTTAAATTTTTTGAAAAAGAAAAGAAAATATTTTTAAGATAAATTTAAAGAAAAAGCTATTAAATATTGTATATATGGAAAAATAAAATAAGTATTTGAAAATGCAATATTATTAAAAAAAAATCAAACAAAATTAAGGCAAAAATATATACCTCTATAACGGTTAACGGCAAAGAATGAGAGGGAGAGAGATGTTTAAGGGAAAGAAGAGAACTTAAGGCAAAACAGCTGGCAAGCTTTTTCATGAGAACTGTTAGAAGTTAGCAAGAGATTTTTGAAGAAGTTTTGAAGAAGAGAGCTGAAAGCTGGTTAAAAGAACTCTTTGCCGTTAGCTGTTTTATATTAAAATTACCCCACGCAAAACCAATTTAAAGCAATTTTTAGATTTAAACTTTTTTAGTAGTAGAGTTTATTTTATAATTTCTTTTTTATTTTTATTTTTTTTATTATTAGTAGTAATATTAGAAATTTTGTAAATATTTATATTAAATGTTTAAATTTTAAACTAAAAGTAGCAGAGTGTTTTTTTTTAGAAAAAAAAACTTGTTTTTTAAGTTTTAACATGCTTTTCTTTACTAAATGAAATTTGAAGTTATTACTTTTTAAAGGAATTAGTTGAAATATTTGCTTTTAGTATAATTTTTTTTTATTAAAAAATAAAATTTAATTTCAAGTGCCTTTTTGAGTTGAATTAAAACACAGTGAATTGAAATTTTGTAACTCTGCTTTAATAATTTAATTTTAAAAAATTTGTTTACTAAGTTTTTAGGTTTTTTCAAGAAAAAAGAAAAAATAATTTTATATTTTATTTAAATTATTATATAAAAAAAACACTGGCTTTTTTTAATAACAACAACATCACTTATTTAAAAACTAACTCAAGAATTTTAAAAAAAATATACAGTAATTCAAATGTGCCATTTAATAGAAACTGGGATTGAAACCTTAAAAACACCAAACACCTCAGCAACTTTCCTAACACAACTGACTTCCTTATAAATAAAAAAAAAAATAATATTTTTATTAAAAAACATAAACTCAGGAACAAATAAAAAACTAAAAAAAAAGACATTCCTTTTTAATGATTAAACAAAATACATTTTATATTACAAAAAAAACCTTAAAACTACCTCAATTTTTTTATAATTTTTTTTTTTTTTAACAAACAACAACTCAAGTCAGTGAAAACACATAAATTTGTTTACCTCAAAAAACTTAAAATATAAAAAAACCTAAAAAAATAACATAAAAAACCCTGTAAATATTTATATTAATTAAATTTAAAAATAATAAAAAAACTCTACTTACTACTAACCCCACAAAATGCAATAATTTATTATAAAAAATTAAATTTAATTAATAAAAAAATAAAAAAAATACATTATTATTAAAAATAAAATTAAAACATAAATCTTGCCAATTTATATAAAACTAAATTAATTAATAAGTATTTAAATACAACCCCCCTCACCCCCTTACATACACCCCCACTAAAAGCACGTAAAATCCACAAACTACACTCAAAACTAAAATTAAAACACCAGCTGTTGCTTAAAACCCTAAATCTAAAAATTAATCCAGTAGTACTTAATAAATATGTTTAAAAAAGCAAAACAAAACTTATAAAAAATTGTCATAATAATAATAAAAAAATAAAAATAAATAAAATTATGCATTTAATAACTTAAACAAAAAAAATTAAAGCATTTAAATTATTTCTCTTTAACTTGGCAATTAATTATTACCTCAAATATACTCAGCATTTAGTTTTTTTTTTTTTTTAATTTAAGACTTTTTTCAACACAAATGACACAATTTAAAAAATTAATTATTATTTAATTTTCTTTAAGCTTTACTTATTAAATAAATAATTTAATTTTATAATTTCTATTATTATTATCATTTTAGTAACTCCTATAAGCTTTCTTTATAATTAACTCTTTAAGAGTTAAATTTTAAATTAATATTATAATTTACTGTTTAATATATAAGTTCTACCCTCAATTTAAAAACTTTGCGATATTTCTTTGTAAGTTTTTTTTTATATAATTTCAAAAAATGTATTGATTTTCTATATAAATATTATAATTTTAAGTTAATTTTATAATTTTTGTATAAAATCTTAATTAAAAAAAAAAAAAAACAAACTGCAAACACTTGGAATAATTTTTAAATAAATTTTAGTTGAAATATTTTATAAAAAAAAATAATTGTTTTTTTACTTTATAATTTGCAAAAATTTTTTCTTAATGACTAAGGACAGAAGTTAAAAAGAAGGTTTGATGATCACTGACGGGTCAATTACCCAGGCCAACAAAATTTGAAAAAAAGTCGAAACTCTGAGACCAAGTTATACTTTCTAAAGGAATTTTTGATACCTTATAACAGCGCCAAGATAACATTTTTTGTATAATGTTGTATGTCATCTGTAAGTCCACTGACATCTCTTCATTCTTTTTCGAGATATCTTTAGTTAAATAAAGTTGTCTTGGAGCAGTTATAATGTCTCAAAAGTGGCCCAAAATGGCCTTTATTCAAATGTCAGGACACGAATCTCAGAGTGGATGGAGAATTGCTGATGCAAGAGGTTTGTTGAAACTCTAGCGCAACTTTTGTTGAAAAATTTTAGTGATTACTGATCCTCACGTTATTACCACTATAAGTTCTTTCTGGTTAAGAAGCGCCTAATCGGAATTGGCCTCAGTCGAAAATAGATAGATAGATAGATAGATAGATAGATAGATAGATAGATAGATAGATAGATAGATATAGATAGATCGATAGATAATCGATAGATAGATCAGATCGAGAGATATCTCGATCGCTACTCGCTCGCTCTCGCTCGCTAGCTCCGCTCGCTCGCTCGCTCGCTCCTATGCTCGCTCGCTAGCTGCTCGCTCGCTAGCTCGATCGCTCGATCGTCGCTCGCTCGCTCGCTCGCTCGCTCGTCGCTCGCTCCTCGCTCGCTCGCTACTCGCTCGCTCGCTCGTCGCTCGCTCCGCTCGCTCGCTCGCTCGATCGCTCGCTCGCTCGCTGCTCGCTCGCTCGCCGCTCGCTCGATCGCTCGCTCGCTCGCCTAGCTCGCTCGCTCGCTCGCTCGCTCGCTCGCTCGCTCTCTCGCTCGCTCGCTCGCTCTCTCGCTCCTCGCTCGCTCGCTCGCTCGCTCGCTCGCTCGCTCGCTCGCGCTCGCTCGCTCGCTCGCTCGCTCGCTCGCTCGCTCGCTCGCTCTCTCGCTCGCTCGCTCGCTCGCTCGCTCGCTCGCTCGCTCGCTCGCTCGCTCGCTCGCTCGCTCCCTCGCTCCTGCTCGCTCGCTCCTCGCTCGCTCGCTCGCTCGCTCGCTCTCGCTCTCGCTCGCTCGCTCGATCTCGCTCGCTCGCTCGCTCGCTCGCTCGCTCGCTCGCTCGCTCGCTCGCTCCTCGCTCGCTCGCTCGCTCGCTCGCTCGCTCGCTCCGGTCTCTCTGCCGCTAGTTGCACTTGTTTCCTGAACATATCAACGTTCTGTTCACAAGAGACACCAGCTATAAGTCGCGAGACAATACCGGCAGTAACGGAGGAAGAGCTGGTTCAAATGGCAATGCTGTTATCTGACAAAAAAGCCCCAGGACCAGATTGTATTCCAAATAGAGCAGTGAAAATAGCGATATTATGCGCTCCAAACCTATTCGCTAAAGTGTTCAATAGTTGTTTGGAAGAAGGTATATTCCCAGAAAGGTGGAAGAAACAAACATTAGTTCTAATTCCGAAACCTAATAAACCCTTGGGAGAGCCTTCATCCTACAGACCTATATGTCTTCTTGATTCCATTGGCAAGACCTTGGAAAGCGTTATATACAAACGACTACTTCCTGCTGTGGAAGCAAAGGGTGGACTCTCCGACCGTCAATACGGATTCAGGAAGTCAAGATCCACGATCGATGCAATAAACATTGTAGTGAATACAGCTAAAAAAGGCGATTGAAGGACAAGGAGTGGACAGAAAATATTGTTGCAATAATAACCCTCGACGTGAAAAACGCATTTAATACTGCGGATTGGGGACGTATCATGGATACCCTATGCAGACTTGGAGTACCCGAGTACTTGACAAGGATTATTGGGAGCTACTTCTCCAACAGAGAGCTTTACTACAACACTGACGATGGCAAGAGTACATACACCATAACCGCAGGTGTTCCCACAGGGTTCGGTCTTAGGTCCACTACTGTGGAATTCATGTACAATGATGTATTAAACCTTAAAATTCCAGATGAAGCTAACACAGTATGTTTCGCGGACGACATCGTTATAGTCGTCACTGCTAGATATATTGAAGAAATCGAGCTACTAGCAAATGAAACAGTGAACGCTATTAGAGTATGGATGAAAACAAGCGGATTGGAATTAGCCGAACACAAAACAGAAGCTGTGCTAATAAGCAGTCGTCGGAAACGGGAGAAAATAAATATACAAATTGGAAACCACACCATCTCATCTCAGCAGCATCTTACATATCTAGGAGTAGTTATAGACGATAAGCTAAATTTCAAACCACATATTGAAAAAAATAAGCTCGAAAGCATCTAATATTGCGGCTGCATTATCTAGAATGATGCCTAACGTCGGAGGACCCAAACAGTGCAAAAGAAGACTAATCTCAACAGTAGTAAAATCGACGATCCTATACGCAGCCCCTATTTGGTCGGAAGCCCTCAAAGTCAAGTCAGCTGCAAAAAAAGCTGAAATCCGTGTACAGATTATGTGCTTTAAGAGTTTGCAGCTCATATAGAACAAATTCTGAAGAAAGCAGCTTATGTTGTAGCCGGAATGATCCCTATCGAGATATTAGCGGACGAAGCAAGACGGGTATATGAGCAAAAAAAAATCAAACCCATCAAATGCAAAGGAAATAGCGAAAATGGAAAGATTAAAATCCATGCAAATATGGCAGAAGAGTTGGGAAGAAAGCCTAAAAGGGAGATGGACGTTTAGACTGATTCCAAAAATAGAACCATGGGTACTCAGATGTCACGGCGAAGTAAACTACTACCTGACGCAATTCCTCACTGGGCACGGAGGGTACAGGTCCTATCTGTACAAATTTGGTCTGGATACGACTCCAAATTGTCCGTATT